TTTATATACCCTATCCTAGAGTAAACTGCTTGAAAACCATACCCTTCACAGCGGCACATACCTATATAGCCCATATATGGCAGTGCCCCCCCTCCCCCCTGGGTCGTGACATGGACCTGTGGCATCTGGTTCACTGGCAGAGCCCGTGTATGATGTTGGACATGGATTGACGATAACAAACTACAGCTGATGGCTCCTACCAGCCTTCAACACCAGTAATTACAACAGTGGTTTGTTGTCTACATTTCTCAACACTGGACCAAACAATGTTTACATATGTCAGACAAACAGCAGTTAATGTGCATTAAAGTAATAGTGACCGTGTAAATGTTACATGTAAATGGTAAAAGGAGCAGTGCAGTGACGTTGTAATTTCTTTCAGTCAGGTGGGAAAAGCAGTGCAATGTTACATGTTGCAAGGTCAGTTTGTCGACGAGCTGAAAGAAGGTGAGCTATTCAAAGATTAATAATGTCAACAAACAACCTTCATCTACATCTACATTTTAATGAGTTAAGTCTGTAAAAAACTCGTAAGACATCACACCGACCGTAGAAGAAAAAATAAATAGATATAAATAAAAACGGTAGGTTGAAATAAGGCATCTAAAAATCTAAATTGAAAATTTAAAGTAATAAAATAAAATAGATAAAATACTATCGTTTTTACTTTAAGAAACGCTGAAAAATTGGATTTAAAAGAGTGTAGAGAATTTGAGGTTAACTATCTCTTCCGGGAGGCAGTTCCAGTCAGTTCCATCCTTATTTGCATGTGGCTTCTTCCAATGCAGTCATTGGAGTGATAACATGTTAATCAAGAATTAAAACTAGATCACTCCTCCAGGTCATGAGTGTAAAAACTTGGATAATGCCTTATGAAATTTTTAAAGTTCTCCTACTTATATTAAATATTTAACTTTTTCAGTCCACACTATACCTACCCTTAGTCAAGCACAAAAGTCATTCAGCAAATTTCTAATATGTACTCTTGTCTAGCCAATCCTTTCAACTCTTTGGTGGCAAATCCAGTTTCCCCTCACTCCCCCTGCGATCTGAGGGAACTAAGCAATTTTAAGAGAGTTTTATGTAGTGGATTGGAGAGTCCTGAATATTTTCTTGTAGTTAATATATCCAAACTAAAAAATAGCATGTTTGTCTTTCTCAACTTCTTTGTAATTTTTTCCCCGTAATCTATTCCCCACCCCTCTCCCCAGTAAAGAGTTTTTAACGACAAATTGCTTAACCAAGGGACAGATTTCAGCCACCTAGTCTGGCTTTGTGCAAAGGATGTATTAGTGCTTAGCAAGAAAATAACTGTGTATTGTTTTGTTGCTCTTGTTTAGAGTAGTACCTCTGGTCCAAAGCGGAAGTGTAGATCCAGAAGTTGGTACTTTCCTAAATAGGTAATTAATGGACTTAACTTTAATATGCTTGCTGTCTCTTTAATAGGTAGTGACTATTCGTGATTTTGTTGATACCCACCACTCGGTGATAGGTATATTAGAATCAAAAACTATGGTAACAGTTTCCAAGAATTTCGAATCTTTACTATTACTTTGATGGGTTAGCACTTTCACTTTTCACCAGTTGATGCTACAAATAGAATCAAATGAACGCGTAATTATTGGTGAAAAAAGCTGTGGTCAATTTTGTTGTCATGAGAGATTAGTCTAACAAGAACCAACTATTCACACTAAGAAAACTGAATACGTTAGGAAACTTAATCAATTTGACCTAGATAATCTTTTAGAAATAGTGTCACTTTTAGGAAACACTTTTGATAAAGGGCTGCAAATACTGAAGTCCCAAAAACCTTATTGCAACCGCAAGTAAAATCTAGGGATCACAATGAGCCGATTAAAAACTATCATGTAATGCGAACTTTCTGAGAGTAAGCAAACAGGTATTAATTACAAAAATTAATTGTCAAGAAGGGTCGGGCTAGATTGAGGCATATCGAATTTTAGTCGTAAAATTAACGGAAGTAAAAATGTACCCTTGTCTACTTGATCTAGCGTTTACGCTTGCATTACACTTGTTTGGTTTGGCAGTGGATATCTTCGTCTTGATGTAATTCATTTGTACAATTTTTTTTATTGTAATTCACTAGTAGCATGTAAATTCCACACGAAATTCAGTCGCTTGACTGCTAGGTGTTTATTTTTTAATAAATACTTTTTCTATTTATTTATCTAAACAAGTGACCCGAGGCAGCCCTACCCTGGTTAAGTATGTAATTATTGCTATTATAATTACCACGGGAACAGACTAAAGCTCAAAACGAGCGTAGTGACCCCCATTTTTTATTATCGAATTGTGACTAGATTGTTAGACTCTCTCCAAAGTTTAAAAATACTTCGTTGAAGGGAATTAGAACCACGTCGAATTTTGAAAAATTTAAGGTGGCCCTGAGCCCCCTGAAGAGAATCGTTTTCAACTTCACAATCGTATCGTGACAGCGTAACATGCGGTAAAAATGGGGTTGGAAGGGGGGAGTGGTGGAGGTGGTGGAGGTGGTGGAGGTGACCGATGACCAAATTCGTTCTTGAGTTATAAACGCTTAAAGCTTAAAATAAAAAACGTGTTTGAGCTGCCTAAACTTTTCCTATCGTAACCTGTTATTTCACAAAAGATAAACAAAGCTTCTTTAGCAAGACCCTATCAATGATAATGCGTTCATTTTGATTCCATTTCTGTAGCATCAAGTGGTGCAGAGTTGTAGTGCTGAAAACCTAAGTAGCTCGAAAGTCCTGGAAACATCTAAAAAACAGTCGTAAATTAAATTTGATGTTATTTACTTTTCTCTCTTTATCTTTCTCTGTCTCAAGGTTGAGTGATTTTCTTTTTATCGCTGCGCGCTTTGTCGCCAAGATGGAAGGGAAAAGCGAACAAATCTATCGTCGAATTAAAAGATGAAAAACGAGGTGAAGAGTTTTGTCTTTGCGAAGACTCCTGTCGTTGTTTGACATCACTGCCAACTACCCACACCTGTCTCTAATCTTTCAAAGCCATGACAAATTGGATCAATCCAAGGAAAAATTGATAACGATAGATTGGCTTGAGCATACATATCTAACATACATTTTATAATTATTGTTTAGATGAGCCGTTTAGTTCTGGCTGGTTTCTGAGTCTATTATGAGTAGAAAACAAAGTCATCTTCAACAGGAGGTTCAATAACCATCACATTGTTAGCTGTTGTTAAAAAGATAATCGACCCGTGAATATTTGTTGAAAAGCGCTCTCATCAAAAGATCCATAAGGCAATCCTTTTGAAATGAAAACCCTGCCTTTTGACCACTTTTCACAGACAACCTTGGACCTTTTCACCTTGAACCTTTTCACCTTGGATCTTTTTACCTTGGATCTTTTAACCTTGGATCTTTTCACCTTGGACCTTTTCACCTTGGACCTTTTCACCTTGGATCTTTTAACCTTGGACCTTTTCACCTTGGACCTTTTCACCTTGGACCT